GCCAGTGATCTTGTCTTTCGTTTCTTACCTGCAGCCTGCACTGGTTACCTGTTTTGATCTTGCGTACCCAAGTGTGACCACAGCAAACTACATGGCAAGTTTGATTTTATTTTATTTTTCATTTTACCTCTAGAGAACTTCATTATTAAAACCTTGTCCCTTATTCCTTATTTCTGAGCCGTTCTACCCAGAGGAATGATGTTTCCTTGGTGCTGCATAGACTTTGTTTTGGTGTTGTCTCTAATCCATTGCCTGAAGAAGCAGCTTTTCTTTTTCTAGTTCACTGCTTTTCTTTGTCATACTCACGCTTTAAGTAATCCATGTGTGTTTGTCACCCATTTGTCAGCAAATCCTATATGCTTGTTGTAGAGCTACTGGTCTTCATCTGCCTCAGTTAATTATTACTACTACTATTCTTATTAATATATGTTGAATAAGTTTATTGTACATGTGTGTTTAGGATCTGCTATCTGTTTAACCAAAACCTAAGCCTGAATAATAAGCATATACAAAGAGTTTAAAGTAAGGAAATACTATCATCTGCTGTGCAGTGTGCTTATCAACTCAGATGGTGATTAATTAATTGATTAAACATTATTAATAAAAATAAATGACAGTAATGTTTAACTGGGAAAGTGTAGGAGTAAAATGAGTGCAGACTCTACATAGCATGTCTGGTGCTTTCATTTTGTTAGGGAATCTCAAGGTTGGTCACTAAGTGTCCGTTTTTAGCACAAGTTATTGCTTTAAAAGTGTTCTAAAATCAAAGGCAATGTTTAATAAGAACAAGGGTCATCACTTTATCTGTAAGTCAAGAAAGTGCATTTTCAGGCATTGTGGTTGGTCTAAGTAACTATAATAATGAATTTTATTTATATATTGGTGCATAATCATTGAGAATAAACACTGGCAGTCACAGCAAGTAGTTGAATTAGCACTGCTTAAAATGAAACAGTCGTACAAGTATTTGTGTCAGATTCCTGTGATATCTTGCAAAAGTAAACAAACCAACTCAGACTGTCAGATACAATGTCACTGTATAAAGCTGTATTTAAAGAAGACATTTTTCATGATTATCCCCTTCTCAGGATATGCATGCTCCATAACTCAAATGAATTGAATCAGAGTGATACCATGAGCTTTATTGTTCAGTTTTACTTTACAGGAAACATTTTGGAGAGGAGCCTTTATAGGGCAAATCTGTGAGCTAGCTACTAAACATGCATGTAGATTTGTGTTTCATAGGTAATGGTCAGAGTGTCCAGGTTTAAGATGATTTTCACCTAGATTTAGTTATTTTACAGATAAAATGTTTGTTTTTTTGACTGTAGAAGCTATTTTAGTCATTTAACATTGCCACTTTGTGCCCTGATTTTGATGCAGATTATTACTTTTCTTGACATTAATAAAATAGTTCATAAATGTAAAACACATAGTTTCAGTTCCACTCTGCTGCTTTGTCCTCTGCATTCTCATATAAAGTTCATCTGATTAGATTACTGTTGACTTTGTCATGGCTGGAGTGTGATGCCGACTAAATTAATTCAGACAAATCATCCCAATTTAAATGACCATTTAATATTACAATTATTCTGAACAGAGTAGTAGTGAAACAGATAATCTGATAGGGAACAGAGAACAGAGACCAGAGTCACTCCTCCTGCTGTGAGATAGATAAAGTATTAAATAAGAAGATTGTCACAGCGCCAGTCAGTCTTGGTTACAAGGTCCAGTCAGTCAGTTGTTGTCACGAGGTACCGTCAGTCTTCCCCCGGCCGGGTCCCCAAAAAGCACACAGTTTACTGTCTCAGTAGCATTCTCTCTCTCTCTCTCCTCTAACCCTTCAGTTTCAGGCTCACTCTTTTATCCGCAGCTTTCCTTAGGCTGTTACGTCAATTTCTGAACTTAGCTTCCTGCCTCCAGTTTCGGGAGACAACACCCTGAGATGTACTTCAAAAACAGGAAACATCTTGGTCAACTTATATAACCTTATTGTTCAGCTCACATGAACTTAATGAACCCATAAACACTTAGCTCACCCTTACACAACTAGTACAAATAATATCTATATATGAACTACATACTGTCCTATTACATATTCCCTCTGGAACCTTGTTTATTTTTAACCACTACACTTTCTCTTGGTATCATGTCCCGGTGGCTTGTTCTCTTGTAAAATAAAGAAGAACCTGTCTTGAGCCTCAATGTGATTACAATTTGAGTATGGCAGCATGAGAGGGACACATGTGTGAGGGAGTTGTGAGCAGTCTCAGGACCACAGATTCTGTGCTCAGCCTTTTGTTTTCTCTCTGTGCCATAGGACTTTTGAATGAAAAATTGCTTTATTACAGCTGGTGTGCAACTGTAAAGGCAGCAGGGAGACAAAGAATTATGGCTTGTCTATGATCAGATGAAGTGTAATCCCTGCCTTGATCAAATCAAGCACCATCCACTGGAGAGAATGACTGGGGAAAGACATTATGCATTCTAAATGCTGCACTCTTCATTGATCACCAGCATCTTTCCATGGTAATGTCAGCTCAGTTTGTGAGGGGAAAAAAAATTGCCGGTTAATGAAAAGTGCAGAAGAAATGATTCATTTTTACCCAGCAAGCAGTAGCAAAGGTCAGCTTAACAGTCCACTTTCTTAGTACAAACTTTCATGCCATGGCGATAAGATTGTGTTGTCTGATCCCCTTGCTGTTGTCGTAATTCCACCACTTTCTTCTTATCCACACAATGGGGGCCCTGATTGCCTTGTGAAAACTCTCTGATTGGCTCAGGTTGGCTTCTCAAGCCACTGTGGGTAAGTGCAGACAAAGATAATAACAGTGCTACCAACAGCATAACAATGAGGATATGGCAGTCTTTTTCAGTCAAACACTGCACAAGTGCACATCAAGATGGCATTTTGTGGATAGCTGGTAAAGCTAAAGACTTTTTCGTTTTAGGGTGGTGTTTCTACATGCAAGACAAATCAAACTTATTTTTATAGCACCTTTCAAACACAGACAAGTGCTTAACCCTACCGTATACTAGGGTCAGGATCAGTACTATTTATTAGTATACAGGCTGCAGCAAAGACGAGGTTGTAAGGACAGAATGCTATGTTTATAAGGCTACAGTACATTTCCATCACTCTGAATCTATTTCTGCTATCAGAAGGCAAGGCTCTACACTAATATTTACTGTATTTTAAGGGCACTTGTGCCCTTAAATATTTTCATTTAAGGGCACATGCCAAAAATGTAGATTCAGTTATTTTTTAATGAAATAATATTATTGCATTTTTTAAAATGTTTAACATCAAAAATGCAATTTGCATAATGCACAGGGGTAAACTGAATTAAATAAAAAGAGATTACTAAAGAATTTTTAAACATAAGACTTAGTCTACAGTACTTGGTGCATTGTGCTGGACGAATGCATCCTTTTCAAAACAGCACAGAGTTTACTAATTGAGTTCATCATTTGAAAATAGTTTTGTTTCATAACATTTTACCCAGCATGAATCTGGTCATGGAACTTGAAATTCAACAATTATTTTTTAATGGTTAAAACTAAAACTGCTGCCTGAATGTTTTGTGCACACTTTTCACTTAAACTGACACCAAAATCTCCATCACATAGAACCCAGGTCACACTTTACAAGAATCATGTAGTAAACAAAGATTAAATTAATTATGATGATTTCTAGAAGACTGCATGGCAGAAATACAGGAACAAATTATATTTACCTGTATATAATCGAATTGTTATTTACACAATTCAGTAACAACTTCTAGGATGATTTTATTATTGTAGTTGAAAAACTTCATCAGAAACACCTTTTCACATGACCGTCCACAACTGCAACTACAAATCAGCTCCATTCTCACAAATGACCATAAAACTGAGTGGACACAGTAACAAATAAACTAGAATTACCACTTTGTGGTTGTATGTTTCTGCCAACCAGTCAAATTCACACGTATGGGACGGAAGTGAGGTCACTGACCTTCACCTTTAACCACCAAACTCTAAGCCACTTCATCTTTGAATCCAAGTGGACACTAGTGCCAAATATGTTCCTGACATATGTTCACAAGATTGGGCCGTATGGACAGACAGACAACACAAAAACACAATGCCTTCAGCCGCTGCCATCGCTGGCGCAGATGCATTACAGAACCTCAACATTTATTTAAGTAACGTATCTATTTACTGCTGTTCAGTTTGCATTGAATTGTATTTCTATGTTTCACTTTGCTCTCTCTGTAATAGGTTAGCAGGTTTTAGAGTGTCATATTAGAATTAAAACTGCACAGTACAGCAGTGAATACATCAGTTTAATTTCTGTTCATTTTCCTTCATTTCATCTCTTTGTAATCAGAATCTGAATTTCTGAGCTCATCACTTTGGGTAGCCTACTGAGTGTTAGAGAACTATAAAATACCCCATCTGTCAAACAAAGGTGTGAAAAGATGACTTACGGCATGATTTTTGGACTCTGCCCACATTTCGCACCTTCCTTCTGCCTAAATCAAAGGACCGACTGGTAACTAAAAAAAGTGTTCTTCCAGCATTCTTCCACCACCTGTCAGAATAAATCAAGTTATTTGGTTCCCCTTCACACAAATTCTTGGAGGACAGTCAAGATGGGAGATTAAATTTAAAATTCTCCCACCTTAGGCTCCTACCTGCCGAGACAACGCCAAGGTTTGTCGTGGCTAGAATGTGATACAGACTAAATTAATTCAGACAAATCATCCCAATTTAAGTAATCATTTAATATTACAATTATTCTGAACAGAGTAGTAGTTAAACAGGAGCTCCAGTCAGTCCAGTCAGTCAGTCAGTCTGTCAACCCACAGTCAGTCAGCATTCCCCTGACCCCCCCAGCCGGGTCTATGGTACACTTTTCATGATAACATTCTCATCCTCTCTTCTTCTTCTTCTTCTTCTAAAGCCCCTTCAGGCTCACTCTTTTATCCGCAGCTTTCCTTAGGCTGTTGCATCAATTTCTGAACTTAGCTTCCTGTCTCCAGTTTTGGGAGACAACACCCTGAGATGTACTCAAAAACAGGAAACATCTTGGCCAAATTATATAAGCTC